ATTGAACGAGGTACATAAGTGTGATTTTGGCCCGCAGTAGCGAACTCCATACATTTTAGTTTTGTCAGACGGTTCTTTCTTTCTTTGTTTGTGGCGTCTCTCTCTCTCTCTCTCTCTTTCCATTCTTTCTTTCCTGCGTCTCTATCTATCTCACTCCCTCATTTCGACGGATGCGTTTGGAAAGAATGGTCTGCTTTGTATTTGTTAAGTTATGTTGTCCACTGTTATATCGAGTCATGTACGGGGGAAACGCAGATGTACAGTAATAAATAACAATGTACGTTGCCACGTACATATAGTCAATCTTTGGTAGGCGCCCGCTGACAACAACTATGGAAGTAGTGAGGGTCTGTCTCTGTCTCTGTCTCTCTCTATGTCTCTCTCTCTCTCTCTCTCTCTCTCTCTCTCTCTCTCTCTCTCTCTCTCTCTTTCTCTCCATCTCTTTGTATTTCTCTGTATGTATATATATTTCCAGATGTCAAGATTGGTCAAAACCGGACAGAAGAAAAAGTCAGGCGATGAGTGTGATGCAACGACGGATCACTTTCTACTACTGGGGGTCAAAGAAGAGAAGACGACTGAGATGGACTGAAACTGGGGTCAGATAGTAGAGAAGCAGCGAGAACATATAGACAGGCTAACAGACGAGGTACATAAGCATAAACAATTGGCGAGACAAATGTCAAACGAACTAGGCTGTATTGAGTCACTGCTCGTAGAAATGACAGAAACTGCGGAACACAGGATGTTCATTGTGTTCTGGTTGTTGCTAGACGATCCAAAGTGTATAGACATAACTCGTCTGAGGGAGGACATGACTGCCAGACTGAAGGCAATAGCTGAAACGAAGACCACCACGTTTGACTAGTTCCAGACATGGTTGGATGGTGAAAGACGCAGGCGCACCGCGGTCTTGAATCGGTTCGCCGCCCACGTTACAAAGAGAACTGCAGGGAATCATAAGGACTTGATGTCGCATCTTGTGGCAGCCCTGAGAAGTGTGTGCTGAAGGAGGGGTGGACATCGTATGATAGCCAAGAATATAATACGGTTTCGCAAAAGCTTCGTCACGCAGTGACGTCGACCTCTTGGCCTTCCTAGCAGAATGTATTCGCCACTGTAAGAAAACCGTAGACGAGTACGGTCTCTGTGATGAAGGTGTCGCGATTGGTAAGGATGACCTTCATTGTTATATGACGTCTCTGTTGAACGGTTGCTCGGACCTCATTGATGCCCTGCAACACACACGAGGTAGGTTGTTGGATGGAGAAATGACGGTGACTTGTGCGAACGAAGTTGTCATGGGAAGTGCAGAAGGTGAAAGGACGAAGGCAGATGAAGAAATCGACACAACAATGCAAACCTCCACAGAAACTGGGACCACTGTCGGGGACTGCACGCCTGCGTCGCATGCCCTGCTGGCGTGCACCGATGTTGCCACACTGAATTGTCACCACGTTCGTCACAACTTCCCATGTGTCGTCGCTAGCAAAGCACCTTGTGCTGATGCAGAATCTGTTGCGCTGCCTATGACAACGGACACATTTCAAAAGTTCGTTGCAAAAGCAAATTCGCGACAAATGGCGAGGCTGGTTGCGGACTGTCTGTTCCATCTCATATCGTACATCAAAGAGATAATGGTACAGGTCGTAACGAACGCAGATCAGCATGGAGGGAATAACGAATGTGAGCATTGCAGGAAAGGACTTCACATCAACGATCGCTTAAAAACTCTCTACACAAGATGTCAAATTGTGGTTGCACGGGTGGTCAGGGACGCGTGATCTCTCTCTCTCTCTCTCTTTATCTATCTATCTATCTATCTTTATCTCTATCTCTTTCTTTCTCTCTCTCTCTCTCTCTCTCTCTCTCTCTCTCTCTCCCTCTCTCTCTCTCTCTCTCTCTCTCTCTCTCACACACACACACACACATACATACACACACACATACACACACACACACACACACACACACAATTATGTATGTTTATTGCTGCTTGTATTACAACTTCTTCGTCCACACTTTTCTGTCTATAATGCCCGATGCCTTTTCCCATATTGACATACTTGTGGTTCATTACTGCGTGCCATATCAGTGTCCACCGCTGCTGTTTGTTGTCGTTCTGGCCCGCAGTAGTGAACCGCCATCTGTCGCTGCGTCTTTCCCTGTCCAACAACATAAGGTTCACTACTGCGGGCCAATGTCTGTCTCGCATGAGATGTTTGTTAGAGTTCTGGCCCGCAGTAGTGAACCTCTCGCTGGTGCTGCGTCTTTGCGTTTCCAACTACTTGTGGTTCACTACTGCGTGCCATATCAGTGTCAACCGGTGTTGTTTGTTGTCGTTCTGGCCCGCAGTAGTGAACCGCTCTCTGTCCCTGCGTCTTTCCCTGTCCAACAGCATGAGGTTCACTACTGCAGGCCAATGTCTGTCTCGCATGAGATGTTTGTTGGAGTTCTGGCCCACAGTAGTGAACCTCTCGCTGGTGCTGCGTCTTTCCGTTTCCAACTACTTGTGGTTCACTACTTCGTGTCATATCAGTGTCAACCGATGTTGTTGTTGTTGTTTTGGCCCGCAGTAGTGAACCGCTCTCTGTCGCTGCGTCCTTCCCTGTCCAACAACATGAGGTTCACTACTGCAGGCCAATGTCTGCCTCGCATGAGATGTTTGTTGGAGTTCTGACCCGCAGTAGTGAATCTCTCTCTCTCTCTCTCTCTCTCTCTCTCTCTCTCTCTCTCTCTCTCTCTCTCTCTCTCTCTCTCACACACACACACACACACACACACACACACACACAATGATGTGTGTTTAAGTGCTACCTGTGTTATTACTTTCTGCTTAGAGTAAATTTATGTCCATAATGTTTGCTGCTTTTTGCCTCACGACACACAAGTGCTTCACTACTGCGTGCCATATCACTATCCACCGGTGCTGTTTGTTGTTCTTCTGGCCCGCACTAGTGAACCTCTCTCTCTCTCTCTCTCTCTCTCTCT